TCCTATTCAGAAGTGACCTGATGTAAACCTTTCAAAAAGCGAGAAGAGCGTCGGTGCAGACCATACACCACAAGTGACGACGGCCTCCACAAAATGTAAATGTTTTCTGCCAATGAAATGATTAGCCTGTTGCAGTTGTATTCTATCAGTTGTCACTAATTACAACTATCATTTACCAAAAAATCAGCTATCACTATGAACCACTACTAACCAGATTCACCAGGGGCCGTCGTCACTTGCGGTGTATGGTCTGCACCCGACGCTCTCTTCGTTTTTCGAAACAGAGGGTACCTGCTGAGTACTTAGGCCCTACCGCGATGTAGCACCGCTCCGGCTTTTTCCAACATTTTTTGTTTCTTTTTTTTCTTTTTTTGTTTCTTTTCCCTACATTCACAATGGTTGTGCGGAATATGCGTTTGAGGATTTAATGAACAAAATCATATGACTTGAGATCAAAATATGAAGTTCCCAGTGCCGTACACACCTATCGAAATGCACAACTCATTTGACTCACCTAGAATGATAGACATATACGAGTGCGTATTCGATCTATACAACAATTCGAGGATGAGAGACACCGTTGCCAGCAAGCCGGTGTTTCCTGTGTTCATGTCTGACACCAAGTATTAGCCCCGGAGTGAGGAAAAACTTCAATACCCAAAAATGTCATCGTTTGTTAGCCCTTCAGTAAGACTAGTGAAGCAAACCGTGTGGGTCCGCTTTTTGACTGAAACTTCCTCACATTTCAATAGCCACTTTCCCATTGAAAATGGTGATCTGGTAATAATGTACCTCCACAAAAGAGTGCATATTCAGAGCATACGATCAGTTGCAAGTGAAGGTCGAGCCATTGACTCTTATTGTGCCGCAGTTTGAAGTTCCACTTCCACCATTGCAACCAGCTGTGAGTATGGAGTTTTCACTTTTTCCTTTTATTCTCTCAACTTTATTGAAGGTAGAGGGCAAGTTTTTATATTTGACCAGACTTGCTCACCGGGAACCGCCGGAACCTCCCCTCCCTGTGTAAATTTTACGATTTCAACTGCGTTTCCTTCCATTTGTGACACCAAATTGGATGCATGTGCAAGAAAAAGGTATTCTATTCAGTGGAGGGCATCATACTGTACTGAGATAAATAACATCTCAACTCCTAGTTAGACCCTAGGTCTGTTGCCAGTTAGATTTCCTCTTCTCCTCCTAATCCTCCTCTTCCTCTCCTCCACTGCCTTCCCCCTCACCTTCAACTGCAGCACCATGCGGAATAGCCGGACTGTGATCAGCAAATCACACGTGTCTTCACACCCATTTTCATCATTCTTCATCTTCACATTTTGTCTTTTTTTTGCTTTTCATTAGGAACCGTCTAGTTTGAGCAGCTTATCGAGAGGAGAACATCTCCCATCTTCGTTGTAGGCAACGTTGTGCTGATGAACTCCAGCGCGAGATCCAGAATACCTTAAAAGATA